ATGGGTAATGTAGTTTTTCACCAGGAATTCCACTAATGAACATGATTATTTAAAAAATAATGTGGACTGATGGCTTCAACAAATGCATATACCATCGATTAATAACCTTGTAGCTCACACCAGTTCTGTTGTTAACGGTTTATAAGTTATCATTAAAATCAGTTCCCTTATGGATAACATTAATGGGATTTTTACTTTTGGAACCGACTGTTGCCATTCAGTGGCGCTAGTGGTTCATAAACTAGGCCTTACACTTCAGCTTTAACCTGGAAACCATAAACATCAATTGGAACATGAATTTACAACCCAAACCAACAGGAAGTGACTTTGTCTCCTTGTTTCAGAAGTCCACTACATGTCCTGATCTATAGTTAATTTAACATTTAGAGCTGAGTTCAAACAGTGAGATTCATGATGCTCTCTAGAGCACCAATTCAATTGATTACCTCACCAGAGAGATGTTTATAAGCAAGACAACCCAGAGGCCCTGGAATTTCCCCCTTTTCATGTCCCACTGCCTGCTTGTAGAACTGTAAACGCCTGAAATGACTTCAGAAGAAACTACAGCGATCATTATTATCCCACTGTCCAAGAATGCATGACAATATTGAGAGTTCTACAGTACAACCCCTCCCTGCAATACAGTAATGCGTTCCATTCCTCTTCTAAACCACCATTTTATACTGTTACACCTTGTGAAGTTTAATTACTGTAATTTCTTTCTTACTTTGGAATGTAATGGCTGGTTGATTTTTACATTGTGTACCTTCCTGCAACGTTACAAATACCTGCCCCATATCCGGCTTACTGCAATCCCAAAATGTCTTGTAAACCACATCAACCATGGCAAGCAAGCTTTTCAAAGTCTCTTGCACTTTAAGAACAGGTGTGCACATTGATGTTCATACCCCCACCATTAAATTGAATTTTACTGCTTGATTTACTCCTCCAAATATCAAGTGTTAGTTAGTGAAAGCGTTTTTGTTTGTGTTCAAGGGCATGAGCTCAGAATCATTGAAGCTGGACAGGATAAAAAGTGCTTTTGTACTATTGCAAATCACAAGCTCCCGGCACGCATCCTTACCAGCACAATACAGCCTGATGTTTTGAACAACAACAAACAGTTCTACACAAATCTAACCACTCCATATCAGTCTGCTCATCCGAGTAACAGAAACCGCTGCTACTTTCACGTCTCTCATATCACTGCGGACTCACGTTTCATGCAACTGCTGCCATAGGTTTATTACAGTTAACTTAAATTAAACTATACATTAAACTGAAAAAAAAACTTAAACATGTTTCAGCATATTTTCACTTAGTTTAACTGTAATATTAATATTGTAATGTTGTGTAATATTGTCATGGTGTTTGTTATGTTGCTAGGCCGATTGTTTTGTACATTTTAATGGACTATTATTTTCTTACTGGAAACTTTAAGATAAAATACAGCTAAAGATTGTAAAATAATGTAAACTCATATCAGAATTCCATAACAAATTTTGCAATAATGACTGGTTGACTGTGCATGAGAGAAAAGAAAAAAAACAGTGAGTAATAAAAGATGAATGGAAATATCTATAAAGTGGATAACTTACAGTAGAAAGCATACATTTCAACCTACCTTTTTAAGCCAAGTGAAATGCTTATAAAAGTCAATTTCCTTTTCCATGCTGAAGGCCCATCTCGACCCGTTGTAATAAAGGAGCGACTGCAGCGGCTGGCTGAGATCTGAGCTCTGGGTTTCAGTGACTGTTCTGCCTGTTTTACAGAGTCGCCTCCTCCTCCTTCTTCTCCTCCTTATATTGGCTGCTGAAGACAGGAGCTCTTAACATGCACAAGCAACTGCACAAACCTCATTTCTAAAGCCAGACGTCTATCCGAGACCCCCTGCATCTGCTGCCGAGCCAGACACTTAGATGTTCAGTGTGTGTGTGTGTGTGTGTGTGTGTGTGAGAGCGCGCGCGAGAGAGATGTCAGATGCAAAACATAAATCCACAACTTCCACTCCCTGATGTTACATGCTCCAAGACAACATTCTACTCCCTCTTTCACATGCAAAAGGCTCTATATTTGTAATCTTTTCTCTCAGCCTTTTTCTTTTCTCTGTGTGAGATAGCGGATCTAATTAAGTTCCAATGCAAGTCTGAACCGAAACAAGCCAGTGTCTCTGTTTAAACACAGCTAAAGAGGGAGAGCGGGACATTTAAAGTCACACTGCCTCAGCACTCTTCCATCTGTTTTTACTCAAGACTGCAACCCATTAGACCAAAGACCCTGTTTCCTGTGGAAGACATCCATCCATTTCTATGCATTTTTAGTTTTACAAGCAACCCTGCTGTCCAGTTGTCTCCTTCATGGACAAACACATCTGAGGGAAACACTATGAAGGGACTGACAAGCACAAACAAGCCTGTTTAATGCTAGATAACAATATAACCTTGTGATCTTGTCAGGCCTGCAGGTTAACATGCCACTATGTAAACTGCTGTAAATAATCATATGCTGAAATTAACTTACTTAAAGGGATTGTTTACTCAACATGAATATTCTGTCATCGTTTAAGGCATGGTCACAATATTCTTTACAAATTCCCTTTTGTGTTTCACAGAAGACAATCCTACAGGTTTGGAACAACATGAAGGTGAGTAAATGGTTAACTATCCATATGTTTTCCCTCAAGTAAGTGCAATAATACAAAATGCTACAACATTCAGTATGGGCCTTGTGATGGTTACCAGGCCTGAGATTCAACCAATATGCCACACCATCCCCATTACACCCTCTTAGAATTGCCTCGCTTTGAGCATTTCCTGTTTGCGTCATAGGGAGTTTTGTGTACTATGCAGAGCAGTGGGGATACGGACACCCTGGGGACTGTTGTCAAAACGGTTAAATACCTACAAATGAAGTCAACAAACGACACATTGGCTATTTTGCATTGTCTTTTGGTGTACTCAAATAAACTTTTTCCATTCTAAGTATTCAAAAACACATTCTTCTGAGCGAGGCAGTCTGCGATTATGTCAGCTATCAAGCATTATTAAAGGTTCCACCCTGAGATCAAGTAGGGACGATGGCGTCTTATTAGTGTAGCATGCAACTTATCCAGAGCTTTGAGAGTTCAGCTGCACCTGGCAAAGTCTCTGATCCTGACAGCTGTGAAGCTGGAGATACACCAGACACACGTGCACATGCATACACAAACAAGAGTATACATTTAAATACTATCAAACAGACACGCTTTACCTACAGAAGCTCAGACAGGTCTCGGGTCAGGTCAGGAGATGAACAACCTCTCTTATCTCGTTTCTGCAGCTGCCCACAAAATCCCTTATGTGCATGTAAACATGGGCCAGATAAGTAGTGTAAGAACAAAGCGTAATGCAGCCCCTTGATCGGACTTGATCGCATTTCCTGCAATGTTTTTACCGGCTGTAATTAGGAAGCATTAGTTTTTTTGATCCCACTCAGACACACAGCTCATAGGACTACTGTGTTGTAGAAAGATCCTGTGGATTTTTAGGAGGCCCCAATAAGATGCGGTCACATTAGCGAAATTTCATGGACAAAAAAGATCCATTGTCTAAAGGTAAAAGGATAGTTTACACAAAAAAGAAAATTCTGTCATCATTCATTCACCCTTCACTTGTTATACACCTATGAGTTTCTTTCTTCTGTTGAACACAAAGTCAATGGCTACCAGCAACTGTTTGGTTACCGACATTCTTCAAAATATCTTCTTTTGTGAAACTCACACTGCTTTAAAGCAAGCAGCTTTGCAGTATTAAGTGTTGTGTTGCTTTTAATTAGAATTATGACTTTACTACTTTATATTACTATAAAATAGCTCTCCAGTGTGCTCATTTTTTATGACCTTGACAGACCAAATAGAAGAAATAAACCGGACGGGATTTCCATGTCAAAGAAAGCACCTACCCATTACGTAATCACCACTGACCAATGGTAGTTCGAAGGTGTTTACTAGCCGAAACAAACTTTTTCAAACAGATGTCGTTTTGACCTGATTTTGTTCGAAATGAAGTGACAGTAGTTTGTTCTTCAACTTCGCTTGAAGTATATCAGGGCCTTTAATGTGAGCGCAGCTTTATGGTCAGATCCCTGAAAAAACAAGGCCCTTGATTGATCCTTGAGCTCCGCCAACAGGTTGCTTATGCACTTTCTGAGATTTTCTATGTTCATTGACCAAGAAATCACCACAGGCTAGAGATGAGAATCATGTGCAAGCATTTTCCATCGGGATACACAAATAACTGTCTAAATTAATCTTGTGACTGTTTTTGCCAATAACAAATACCAGCAAAACAAGAAAAACACTATTCTGAGAAAGCAAGTATGCATGCATTGTCAGGTTACAGATCAAGAAAATAATCTAGTTAGTATAAACTGTCAGCAGAGCTGTCAGCCGCAGACTTACCCTAGAGGAGATGAAGCCGAGCTAAAGGTGACCAGATCGTTTTAAATGCAGAGCAAAGAGAAAGGAGAGAATGACTGCGTGGAGAGAGGGATATGAAGGGAAGAGAGGGAGAGAGGCAGGAAGCACAGCCTCACATGTCTCAGAGGGGATCTGAACTCTTTTAAAAACATCCAAGCAACATACAAGCACACGCACGCATGCAAATGCTGGGCCAGAAACTGCCTCTGGGACACATGAGAAATGACCCTGTATTAGTCTGTACTTAAAGGTATAGTTCACTCAAAACTGAAAATGATCATAATTGTTATTATTCACTCATGTTGTTTCAACCCTGTAAGCTGTTATTTTTTTCATTGGAACGCATAAGGATATTTTTTTTAAGATTCTTCAAGCAGCTCTTTTTTTTAATACAGTGACAGATCCGATTAAAAAAAGCACCATAAAAACAGTTCTTAAGACTTGTGCTCACCACGTTTGGGTCAGTGAAATCATTCTTTTGAGTCAATTCTTTTTAATGAATTGATCGACTAGGTTCACAGTTCTAACCTTGAGTTGAACAGTGAACAGCTGACTAGAGGGGAAGATTTTCAGTGAATAGTGAGTTTAATTTTAATGATTTCAATTTGTTCTTCACACAAAGAGATTAAATGACTGAAGAGGACTAAGAATATAGCGCACAAGTCATATGCACACAGTGTTCTTATTGTGTTAACTAGTAAAAATATTTTTTGAAGATGTATATGTTCATTTGTAAATTCATTTGTGTAACTAAAAGTAAAATGAAAACTGAAAACATACAAATAAAAGCCAATTTAAAATATTGTATATGGACCACCTTTGTGAAAGCTTTATTGTGGGTTTTTTTCCTCCTTTGTTTATATCTTTGTCATTTTTTATTCTACTTTTGTGTTCCACTGAAGAAATAAAGTCCAGATTTGGAACAAAAACGAGAGTGAGAAAACAATGCAGGAATTTTCATTGATGAATGAACTGTTCCTTTAAGACTAAGTATAGCTGCTTATTGAATAGTCTTAACACTTGCAGGGTCTTTTTGCTGCTTATAATCCTGACACCACATTTACATTAAAAAAAGTTTTGTTTCCAAAACATGACAAACACAATATGAAAAAAGTTAATTTATCATCTGTGAAACATGCTAACATCTGTATCACTGCACGGTGTGTAAATATTTATATAAAGAAAACACTATCCAAATGCTGACTGAAAACTTGAAGATGGCACCAGGCTAAACAGAGAAGCTCAGGAAACATTAAACATCAAACTCCAAATATAATGATTGCTCATGAGTTAGTTAAGGGTGAATGAGCTGACTTGAGTTGGAAAGAGGACACTTGTTAAGTGAATTAACTCTGGCTAAGGCTTATATCAGCCAATATAAAAACTGACCATTGTTCCTGAATAACTGTGATACTATTCCAACATAAAATTCACAAACATTTTATAGGCTTTCACTTTCAAGTGCCTCACCGGTCCTTTCTCTAGCCACTCAGTGAGGGTCTGTGCGGTGGTGCAGGGCAGCTGGGAGCGCAGGGAGTTGCGGTCCTTGTCCCCGGCCTGCAGCTCCAGTGCCAGTCTCAGCTCCTCAGCCAGCTTGAGAACCGGCAGGGGCCCGACGCTCACAGGAGAGCCCAGATCATACAGCCCGTTACTGAACCCCACTGCAGCCTTGGAACCTGCGGACAGAAATATGAAATGGACTAAATAAAATATAGAAGAGGTTAGATCTTTGGCTTAGTGGTCATACGCTCATATGGGTGACACAGGTTCGAATCTAGCACATTTTAAAAATCCATTCCTTTTTTTTCTTGTCATGTTTTTTATTGTATCATAGTAGCAAAAAGCATGAGAAAATATACAATCTATGGTACAGCAAGGGCAAAAAGTGACTTGAGTGGAAAAACAAATAGTAAGAGAGCAGGGGAGATGCACCATCACACCATGTCATACATCATCACATCATATTAACCATCATCACCCACACCACTGCAGCCACGTGTCGCCTCCATCATCTAGCACAACAGTTCCAACCATCCCCATCTGGATACTATGGAATGAGACGAAACTAATTTACAGGAACATCTGGAAACCATCAGGATTCTATAACACTTTAAAAGTGTATGATGACATTGTTCCATTATTTAATGCCAGAATAAACAATCAGAACAAAGAGGCTCACAGTTGACAACGGAGAAGGGCCGTGGTGTCAATTTTTAGCGCATTACACAATATTCCATTAGTTTACATGTCCCGTTAATGTAAGATTTGTATTGTTTCTATATGTCATTACAAAGAAGATAAGTGGGTGGACTAAAGTGGTGCTAAGAGTAATGAGAACAATGCAAATAAATGCTTCTTGTATGCATGCAAAGAATGTTAGACAAATGTACATAACTGTTTATACAAATGAATAATTTGTGCATTCAGGTGCAAGTGTTTTGCTTGGCTGAAGGCATGAAATGACCTTATTGGTTGCATTAATGGAGGGGTGGGGGTGTTGTGCTAGTTACTGAAACAAGCAGTGCATGGAGGGATGCCCTAACAATGCAATTTCAGCTGTAAAACAAAACAAAATAAAATAAAATAAAGATATTTGAAATTATTTGAAAAAAAAAACAAACAAACAATAGAGACAGAGTGGAATATTTATTCTCGCTCAAGCTATTCAATATCCCTTAGGTTTTGATAATCAAAAATCACCTAAAATAACAAAACAAAACAAAAACTACTGGAAACCGGAAAGTCTATTAATCACATATAAGGCTAGAATGCTAGTTGTTGGATCATCTTTTTCGTAATCGAGATGTTCCAACTGTCACCAGCAGGTGGAGGCATTTCAAGAACTTTGAGCAAGTCTTATAACAACACGTCTTCATTGTCATGAGTCAGTTAACACAGCAGAATCAAAGAGACACAACATGCCTGTGGTCATCTCTCATCACACCCTCCTATTCTTAAGACACACAGACAGACACTCATTTAAAGTCTAGATCCAGGATTAGCCGCATGGTGTGACATTTTTTATTACTACTGATTACTAAACATTAATGGTTTCAAATGATTTAAATTCATAAGCAATTGATTTATAAGCCTGTGCTATTTGAAGTCCTGAATGTGTAATATTTGGCACATGTAGCCTATTCAGGGCAATTATAACTCATGACTTGCAGGACTACACAGCTAATATGGTATGCAAAATGTTATAACACGGTACAAATAAGTTTATATTATGATAACATATCTCATTATATTTTAACTGTAAATGCAATAAATTGGTTTATGTATTAAATAAACACATAGTATTTCTTATCAAGTACCAGCTCAGTGAAAAAAAAAATACATCCAACATGGAGGATACGAAAAGAATCAATAAAAATAGTTTATTGCAATTAAAAAGAGATTATTTTACACAATAAACATTTATTTTCTAATATTCAATATGTCAGTATACTAATGTTCAGAAGTTTTTATATATGTTTTAGGATTTTTTAAAACGTTTTTGAAAGAAGTCTCTTATGCTCAACAAGGCTGCATTTATTCGATTAAAAATACGTTAAAAGCACTATGAAATATTATTACAATTTAAAATAACTGTTTTCTATTTGAATATATTTTTTAATTTATTCCTGTGATGGTAAAGCAGACTTTTCAGCATCATTACTCTTGATCCTTCAGAAATCATTCTAATATGCTGCTTTGCTGCTCAAGAAACATTTATTATTATTATTAATGTTGAAAATATTTTTTTTTCTCCAGGATTCTTTGATGAATTCAGCATTCAAAAGAATAACATCTATTTGAAATTAAAATTTAAATTGAATTTTTTAACATTATAAATGTCCTTACTGTCACTTTTGATGAGCACTTTAACATATCCCCTTGCTTCATAAAATAAATAATTTCTTTCTTTCAATAAATAAATAATCTTACTGACTAAATTAGAAATATGAGCCCTTGTTTTTTAGATATTTATTTTGCTCTTTTTATCCCACATTAAAAGTAAGCAAGCCAACATTGTTTTGCCTAAAAGTTAATGGTAGTGTGACCTTAGGTTATGTAACTGAATAAATAGTGTTTATCACAGATTTTGTCACAGCGAATGTCTCCCTACGGACTGGCTGAGTACACTGTACCTCTCACTGTCTCGCTCAGACAGCAAACCGCACGCTTCACTCCATCCCCCAGCCTTCATTTGTTGACTGCCCACATTAAACATTTATCCTCTATTAGTTAAATCATCTTGGCAATCACTAAGCTTGCTTGAGGGGCTACACAGCCCCCACATTCTCTCCTTACCCAGCCCTGTTAAGAGTTTCCCCTCCAAACCTGGCTGCTTTGTTATAAAATGTTGTGCTGAAACAGTAGTGCACTCATTATGTAGCTTGATTAATAGCTTAATGTGTTTTAACATTTATCTACTGTACAGTACATACTACAGGGCTGCCAATAAATAAATACAATTCAAATTTAAAGAAAATGAATTACATGATATGCATTATATAGCATCATATGAATATTTCTGAGACAAGCCCCCAAATTAAGATAAATTACTTAAGACACTACAAACGCATCATTGAACAGATGCTTTAGAAAAAGTCCATATATTGTTTTATATACAGTACTTACATATAAATGGAATTGTATATTATATATAAAATAGAAATAATTCTAAATATATTTATTAAAAACATCATTAATAAATATTTAAATACATTACTAAATGTAAAAAAATAAAATAAAAAAGAAGCTGAACTCATTTAAACTCCTTTAGATAAAAATCAATACTAGTTAGTATTGAAATATAATATAATATTAAATATTGAAAAACAATTTTTATATATAAGAATATGATATAAATTATTATTGTATATTATGTTTAAAGACAATTATATAATTCTAAAAAATATTAATATGTTAACTAATTCAAACTATGCAAAGCTTTTTATGCAGCTTTACCTTTGTTTGGCAAGTGCTTTTCTTTCAAAATATCCAACACCATGTAATCCTTTCAAAAAGCTTCACACATGCAGCGTTGAGGGAATCCAATTAGTGTGTATAGATCAAGAGATACGTTGAAAAAACATTGTATAGGAGCAGAGCCTTATCTGATCGCTTCCTGAAAAGCAGCCAATCAGAAACAGACTGCAAAATTACTTTTACCTGACCCATTTTTCTGAGAAATTACAATTGCTACTTTGAAATATCCTGTTTGTTATTCAGTAAAGAAGCAATGGACATAATTGTGGACCAGATCATTGCTATTTGGAAGAATGTGATCCATGCACAAGTTCATCAGGAGGATTTCAAATCAGCTTGAAGCTAAATTAAAGTCTTACCAGCAATAATATCATCCATTTGTTCCAAGGCTGCTTCTAACATGTGACTTGCATCTGAGGCCATGGCGCCAGCCGTCTACTGCATCTGCTGGTTTGCTTCTCAGTGACCTGCAAAAATATGTCATGTAATTATGCAACATAATGAATAAAAGTCACAATTACAGTTGCTGGGAAAGTGCATTTCGAAATTGAGGGTGGAATAAAAAAATTAATCTTGTGTGTGAACCAATCCTATGAATCTCATCTGACGGCAAGTAGCAGCTTGGTGTGTTTAAGACTGCTGCCTTCCTGTACTGTAATGTAACTTGACATTACATAAATTCCCTTGAGTAAATGTGATTTACAACATCTAAATACAAATCATACTGTCCACTATGAGAAGGCTATATTTAGAAAATGCCACTAGAAAATGTTGTATGTGTTTGATTGCAAGCTGTCTGAAGCTACAAGATAAAATGGTCTCCATATTAAGAGCTAGTGTTTTCCCAAGCATTAACCCCTGACTCTCTGCTTTGACGTATCCCTAGGCAGGTTGACTTTCTCCCTGCGGAACCTCAGTGATGGAGGGAAATTTGAGAATAATTAAGCCTGTCAGGGTCAAGTTTCACCCTATTGTCATGCTTTGTGGCATGTGTAATACGCACATTCATACATATATTTAGGCTCACACACATAAGCAAACACAAACACAAAGAGGCGGCTCTAAATTATGAAAGCCCGTTTCCACCCTACAGTTCAATTGCACTCACATTTACCATTTCTTGGCTAATTTTTGCAAGTGAAATATAGTCATTTCAATAGGAATCCACATAATTGGGAATTTCATGTGAGGGCAAAGGATTCCAAGTTCATCACACAGATTTGCAGCATCTTTTGCACAATGCAAAAAATGAGTGTAATTTTAACTGTAAAATAATGTAAAAACACTACCGACTGTTAATAGGTTAACAGTAAGTTCCCGTACTACATACAGGGAAAAACTGATATAACCGGACATTTCATGTAATTTTTACAGTAAAATACTGTTAAATGTACAGTTTTTAGAAGTAAAAAAGGCAGATCAAATTATAATTTACAATGAAAAACTGTTAACTGATATTCCCAGAATTTCACTGTGTGACACTTCACATTTGAATATTTTGTTTAATAATTATGTTTCGTAATAGTTTTTGTTATCAGTTATGCACATTTGGGTTTTATGTTGGGTTTTATCTTCTGTTGTTTAATGAATGTTTATTGCATTATTTTAGTGTCATGTGTGTGTTACCATGATGGTGTTTACGTGAATGACTGCACCACCTGTATACTAATATAATTCTGCTTGTTGTAAAGCTACTTGTGATTAGTTTTTTCATGATTTTTCATGTGTCTTCCTCTTTTACCTCTGTTAAAGGTACAAATTAGATTTTAGTAGCAGTGTGCATTGTTGGATTTACTGGTTTAAATTGCAATTTTTTTTTTTGTAAATTACAGTTTTATACAGTAAAATGTATAAGTTGTTCTGTAAATATGTTTACATTTTTGTATTGTATTTTCCCCCCCCCCAGAATTATTGTCAACCACAACTGCCAGGATTTTATAATTTTTTTTTTTTGGTGATTTTTTCTTTTTACAGTGCATTTAAAAATTTGCTAAGGTGAATTAAAAATAAAAAGGATTTCTAAATTTCTTGTAACTACGACTTTTACTGCACAATTGTGACTTTTTTTCTCATGATTACTACTTTATATCACACAAATCTCACAATGTGAGTTTAAATATCAGTATTTAACTTTACATTTCAAAATGAGATTTTATGAGAAAAAACTAAAATCGACACTTGTGGGAAAGCAACCACAAAAAACAAAAAAACACCATAGAAACAGCATAGCAACACCCTGGCTCAAAACACTCTACCACAGTAGAGATGACTATTGAGTAAAAAAAATTAAATAAAGTTTTTATAAGAGCGCCAAAATATTCAATGAATTACATTAGAAACACTTTATTTCTCATGCAACTAGCTCACAAATCTCACAAATTGATTTTAAATGTCAATATGTAACTTTAAATTGCATAATGTGTCTTAATGGAGAAATCTCCAAAAACGACACTTGGGGGTAAGCAACTACCTAGTGACCACCTAATACACCTTAACAACAGCATAGCAACACCCTGGCAATGGTTTAGAATACCTTATAATAGTAGTGGTGATTTTTACAGGTGCTTCCTCTGAAAAAATAAAAATCTAGTTTATTAATTTGTTCATTCTTATAAGAGACAAAGAATGATTTATATTAGAAGGATGTCAAACCACACAAAGATATTACATTTCATAAATGTCAGGCTACATTATGAACAGAACATTTAACCTACTCATACTCTTGTAATTGGGCGGCACGGACACATGCCACTCGGGTGGTGGGTCACAAAAGACAACTGTCGAGGGCTAGAGGGGGCACGTCCCACAATGCTGTTCTTTATGTAGCTTAATTTAGCCTCACACGTCAAGAGAGTGTTGACTCTATTCGGGGCGTTGGGATCTTTCACTACTGAAACAATGTAATTGAAACACACAACAGCGCTATAATCACAGCCCTGATAAGAATGTGAATATAAGCCTTCAGTTAAATGACAAGAAGAGATGAGTGCAGCCTGGTGCTGTTCATTAATAGATAGCATAGCATGCTTTTTAATACCAGCAAAAATGGAAAATCCAGTACAACCTCTGCACACACACCCAATTATTCAAGCAGATAAGGGTGTGTAGGCTTTCTGTCATGTGCTATCTGCCCTAAAAAAGGAGTCACGTCTTATTTGATCACGCTGATGAGGCTTTTTCGCCCCTCTTCACTTATTATAAGGTGCTGCAGTGTGTAGGGCACAGAAATGTGCTTCTATTGTTAAGTCTCACAAAACAAGTTTTACCATTTGCGTTCTCGCTTCACGTCCAATGATCTGCAGGTTTGTTCATTTCTGTGCTAATAAATATACAACCCCTCAATGTCCTGAGATTAATGAGAAATAACAACCATTTTTAGACGCCTGACCCACTACAGAAGACCAGGCACTCTTATCCTCTGACCCACAAACTCAGCAATTTCAGGCAATTAAATCAGCCTGACAAAGATAATGTTGACCACAGCAGTTCTCCTGTGCCATCGGTTTCATACCATTACAATCTGACAAATCACGTCAAGAGTTTGTTCCCATGCATTACATCTTCTGTGGTTTAGCTTTTTATTTCACCACTGTGGACAATTTCCATTCATACACTACACCTGTGTATGCTTTTCTCCATGGTATGTTTCACCTGGGCTCAACGCCAGTCAACTACGGTTAAAGAACATTTATATAGGAACAGTACGTGAAGTAAATAACAGATTTAATTCCAAGACTTCATTAAACAAATCAAGTAGAACTTGCAAGGAATTTTGCTGGCTGTCACAAAAGACCATATAAAATGAAATACACTAAAGTTAAACTCATTCAAATTCTTTTGACACTTAAATCAGAATCAGTACTAGTTAGTATAGTTAAGCCAGATTAAGCCAGATTTAGATATATAATACAATTATTAAAAATTTATATATATATATATATATACAGTGGGTACGGAAAGTATTCAGACCCCATAAATCATATATTTTTAATATTATAATTATTAACAATATATTAATAATATCAACAAACAACAATTATACTGTACACACACACACACACGCACACATATATTATTCCATCTACACTATTTATTAATTTATTTATTATTTATTATTTATTAGCAACAAGGAAATATGTGTAGAACCTGTAATTGGAATTTCTGTCCATCCAAGTAGTGATTATTTTACAGAAATAACAAATGAAATGCTAATGAATCTACGTAACTTACTGTGTGCCTCGAACAAATCTTTCAAATGTTTGATTAACTGAAAAGCAATACAAGTTCTGCAATGTTTCTCACCAGTAAGTCGGTGTTGCTTCTATCAGTGTTGACACATTCCAACACAAGCCACTCCCCTCAGTGTTCCTGATATACGTCACCCAGAGTCAAGAGTTAGCAGGTGACTGAACGCCGATGCTATCTCAATAATGATTGGTGACATCACACAAGTCACATGTCGGACTTCAAGTCCCTGGTTGCTTACAACCTCTGTATTTACAAAACCTTGATAAGCCAACAAAAAACAGAGAAACTTCCTAATCGACGGTACCTTGCTTGAGTTACACAAAATGGTTCTTTCCACCCAAACCCAACAACTGCAGTCTGAATATTTCCGTTCACACTGTTTCTCACAGAGATTGCAAGGCCATCCAAACCACAGGTTATTCATGAGGAGGCTTTGATAGGGGAAACACTGATTTTTAATGAAGGTATTGAGCCTGATCCCATTCACTCTACTAATATTAATAGCAACAGACTTACATTGAACGAGGGACAAGAGTCATATCTAAAGACCAGAATATCATACAGACTTGCCGGTGGGCTATTTTGACTTGGGTCAGTAAGCAACCACCCAGAATACCATAGTAATCTGCCTTATGGCGGTGATGTTTTCATGGCTCTTGCAAGCACAACTCACATTCACAAAAAAACAACAATATACTACATAATGGCTAGACACATTTTAAGGAGGAAATATACTTATTTGTTATTTGTTATGAAAACAATGACACAATGAAAAAAAAAACTCCTCAAGTAAGCGTTCCCCCCCCAGATTCAGATTTGCCATCGCAGGAATAAATTACATTTATTTATTTTCAAATTGAAAACATAAATATACAATTGTAATAATATTGCCCAATATTACTGTTTTACTGTATTTTTGATCAAACAAAAGCAGCCTTGGTGAGCAGAAGAGACTTCTTTCAAAACATTACAAAATCCTACAGACCCCAAACTTTTGAACAGTAGTGTATATAAAATGTATATTAAATAGATGATAGATAGATAGATAGATAGATAGATATTAAATAATATTTTAATAAATCCACTGTCCTGATATGGTCTTATTATTTTAATTGTTATTAAAATTTTCCCGGAAGCCATTCCTTAGAAGTATTTTCCATGTTGTTTAAAAATTCCCACTATGTACAGTAAAAGCAAAAGCAACACATAGGTGTCAGACCAATAAACCCAGCACGTCAACACAGCTTAAAATGAGAACATCAAAGGCAGCAGTCCTCAAACAGCTTAACCGTCCCCACTCAGCACTCTGCATTAAACCATCCCGACGCGTGTGTGTGTTCAGCTGACGGGCTGACATGTCGCGTGGCCACCGTGCATCCCTTGGTTAAACACACTATAATGGCGGAAAGGTGACCTGTAGTGCAGTTCAAATGCAGTGGCTGCCACAAGGCCTCATTGTTGTGGGATCTGTATGCTCTGTGTGACGGAAGACAATGAGATGACTGTTTATGCCATGGTACAAGCAGGTTTAGGCTCTGCCGCAAGCTCTACCTTCTTGATACAGGTTACTTTTCATACATGTTAAGTCATCCACAACAAACCCGGTTCAAATAACAAGGAGATAGAGTTGCAGCACCATATGACTACACTGAACAAAAAAATTGGTGTAGATTTCCCTTGATACAATTTTCATTCAGAAACTGTTAGAAAATGTTACAATTAATTACATAGATATGGAGGACTAAACTACAAACTGCAAAAACTATAAATAAATAAATAACATCAAAACAATTCATTTTTCATTCAATTTAGTCCTGAATTAATTTTTGCATTACTTTCCCACCCTTTATTTATGATCTTTTTTACTTATTTTAACAGCATTTTTATTTTCATTTTATATTTCTTTATGTGCTCATTTAGTTTTTTGTTTATTTATTCCAACTTTTATTTATTTACATCTTATATTTAAAATAAAACATGGCTATGACCGCTTTATTTATTTTTTTATTTATTCTTACATTTCTGTCTCTTGAATGATAATTAGGTGGGTTGGTCTTGTTTACCATTGGTTTATCATAGATTGGTTTATCATAGATTGAAGTGTGTGCTCCGATCAGCAACAAAATCTGACATGAACTGCCCCATAAATGTTTCTTATGCTCAAACAGCGTTTAAAATGGTAGTTTTTATATATATATGATAATTATATATATATATATGACAGAGAGAAAAGCTTTGGGCCTCCTTGCAAAGAAACAGCAAGTAACAATAAATTACAAACAAAATTTTTAAGTATAAAAAGACCGAAATAGTATTTTCTTGTAAAGTACTCCAATAATCTTCTAAAAGATTTTTTTTACAGTGTACACTACAGGCGGAGTAGTGTGATCATCAAGCAGAAAACTGAGAGGAAGCTTTGTCGCATTAATAAAGAAGTTTCCACATAACACTTCCACACATATTAACATCAGAATGTCCAAGAGATCAAAACAGCTCTGATATTACATGCATGGACCGCCATTCTCAAAATGAATCATGGCTCAGTGTAGGCGGTTGTAAGTTCGATTCGGGCTCAACCCCTGTCCGGCCCCAAGCTCTACTCACCGGAGCGGATGCGTTGTGGCAGCTGGCTCGAATGCTGCACTCCTCCGCAGTAACAAGATAAATGTCAGTCCTAAGCAGGTGCATTCGACTGTGGTACCGAGGCCCGTGAAAATGTCAGTGAGCCGCTCGGCACAGGAAAGCTCTGCTCATGGGGCAAAACATCACGGTTCTGTCCTACAGGTCCCTGACATCAATACCGCCCAATGCATATTGCATGGGATCTCCATCGCTCTCTATCTCAGTCCGCAGAATGGGGTTCACACAAAGTCAGATGCCAACTGCAGATGTTTAAGAACTGGAACGTCATAGAAATAATTTGGTTCCAGTGTTTTGTACAAAATGTAACTGGGAATCGGATATCAATTCCTAAACCTAGAGGATGGACACATCAAAATCAAAGAGTGACAAGAGAATTCATGTAAATAGCTCAAAGAGTGACAGCTGAAATGAGTGATGGGCACTTTTAGATGCTTATTAAACTGTATTTAACTTTACAAGCCTCCAAAGAGCCTCAAAATACAAAATCACACTGAGGATTGCAAAGCATTAGGTGGCATATTTGATGAAATGTTAATCTGTAAGCAATATTCACTGATCTTCCTCAAAATCTCTTTCTGAAAACAAAAAAGTGAAGATCAGAGGGATGGAGAATGAAGTCAAAGGTCATGAAGACTATAAAGGCTTGTACATTTTTCAACCTTAAACAGCTACACATTACAACATGATCCTTTAAACAAACACTATAACGTCTCAAATTTCATCCAGAAGATATTAAACTCTATTTCTAAATGCTTTAAGTTGGCAACCATTCTACAGTGGTGTCATCAAAGAGCAATACAATTGTGTTTTCACAAACCAGGGGAAGTGGACAAATAAAAAAGCCTTTATCTTTTTCTCTAAGCACATGATCTTCACAGACAGCTTTGTTGAACTCCACAGACATTACCAAGTGAAATCTCCATTGCAGCACATAGTGTGACTGCTCACTGAGCCCAATGGGGTCAGTACTGAAGGAAGAGGCTTTATACTCTATAATAAAAACTGGCAGTAAAACAAACATGGACAATGAAGAGTAACAAGCAGAGACAAGAACTGTAATAGGCTTCATTGCAAAACAAGTAGCAGAATATTTTGAGAATATGCGGTCAAATAATGGCTCATCTGAGACAGTTCATCCTACACTGTATGACCCAGTTATCTACTGTACCCTGATCCTTCAGGATTTGACAGAGCAATCACGTCTGTGTTTAAGTTTCTGGTCAGTGGTTATTTCTCTTTGGTCTTCATAGTATAGCGTAGTGGTGTAAAAATAACGTACATAATGAATACAATAAAATGTTAAATATAAATAAATATATATGCAACTACATTAGGCTATATATTTTTGCATTAGATATTAAACTTCAGCTGGTCATCATATTAGCTATAGCATATGTGTGTGTGTGTGTGTGTATTCATTAGATGTAATATATTTAATTACATTTTCATTATATATTATGTATATATACACAATATTAATATTTAACTTTTTTGACATATACACAATAATGTGATTTTTATTCATGTTAAGCATATTTTGCTAAATCAGGAAATTCTGATTCTTTATAATACACACAAATACTTAAATGTATCAATAATAATAATAATAATAACACAATGCAAGAAATTATAAATTAACTTTTTTAATTAGCCTACATTTTTTTTTACGATGAACAATGTTACTGCACCTAAACTTTCTTGATATTTTTTATGACACTACACATGGGAAAGACTACTCAGTACTGCTTAAAATTATGAAAAAGTTTTTCTGCACCTAAAAAAGCAATATAGACAGGATGTTTTTTAAAAATCAACTTACCTGTAGTATAATTCCCGACTGATTTTAAATCATCCTGTTGTCAGCTGGCGTACCGCTCATGTGTTATCATCGAGCTGCGCAGCTCCATATACAGTAATAAAGCCATATGATGGACATTTCCTCTGACCAATCACCTGTCATGTATTGTAAGAGGCGGGTCTTATCGCGAAACGAATTCCATATTTTGTGCAAATAAACTAAAACAACCCTCATTATAATGCGGAAAAGGTATAGTGGAACTCTTTTAATTTAGAATGGGTAGCAAGGGGGTAATATTTTAAGAAGCACAAGAGCGGTAAAAGAGGCTTTCTTCTTTAGTTTCACGTGTCACCGATAAACGATCAAATAAGCTCATAAAATAAACATTTCAATACGTTGTTTTGTTGTGTCGCCTTTGTCTTCAAATATGCTCCGCTACAATTAGTGACAGCATGTTCAGGTGGTGCTGGTAATCTGTATGGAGGATAGCCTACAAGCGCCATCTTCTGTGCAAGGTCACAAATACAGAAAGCATGTACAAGTGCGCATGCGCGTAACGTCTATTTAGTGAATGTAGTGCGTGTTTGCAGACTCTGTACATAAATAAGCATAATTATTTAGATGTCCCCCCTAGCAATCTCCTTAAGTTATTTTTTAAAATTCTTACAGAAGTAGCCTACTAATCAAGAAATGTCAAGAAAATGTATTGATCAAAAAAGGGTGGGAAACTAAGGCCCACAAGAAGTATTTCATGCAGTACAAATTAATTAAATGGTTAAATAGTAGTTCAATGATTATTTATTGCCAAAATATGCTATAAAAACAACACACAAATTGTGCTTTGTATAGTGCACATTATAAATGTAATATTTCAGTCCATGATCTCAGTCCACCTCAGAAACACAGTGAATTTGAAAGGCAAATATGTTCTGTACAAAATATTTTCTTCAAGAGACACATGCATTGCAGATATTCTTTTTCATTTAATGCCATTTATTTATAGAGTACTGCTGTTAGATAAGCATCTTTTACTGTCTCAAATGACAGAATATGATAGTTGCAGTTCTCTGACTGAACCGAGGAGGTCAAACAGTCCTTTGTTTTTCAGGAAATTACAGTCTGGCATAACTACAAAGTGCACTACATAGTGCTTTCCACTAAATTACAAGCAGATTACATGTGATTGGGAAAAAGAATAAGGCACTTCTGGTTAAAAGGACCTCATTGTAACTACCCATGTAGAACTGACCTATCCTATATCTTCTTGATTTCTAACTTATAGATGGTCTGATAACCATCATCCCAAGCATACAGTTGCTTATCCTTTGGGTGGAAACGCAAAGTGGAGTGGCTGGTGTAACGCTTTGGGAAGAAAAGCACAGGGATGCTCTCGGTGTAGATGGTGTCATGGATATCAAACAAGCATTGGATGCTTGACCTTCCACCATAGTGGGAGTTGTAAACCACATATAAGGTGCCACAGATTATGAAAGCTGCTTCTGCATCACGGCTATTGCAGTTGGTATCCCAAGTGTGCTCCACTGCCAGACTACTGTGGTCCAGCTTGGTGATCACCAAGTTGCCGCTGAAGTCTGGGTCGGCATGGATTGACCAGAGCCCCATTTCATCTACGGCGAGATCCAGCAGGGTGTGAGGATTGAGGGAATATGCCGGCATCCGACCGGCTCCAGGAAGCAGCAACCGATCAGCCACTGTACGGTTGCTGAGGTGGACCTTCAGGATCTCATTGTTGGTGTCTGCGTTGTGGTAGAACACAAAGCCGTTGTAGACCACATGGGTGGTTCCATGCCAGGGAAAAGGAAGACGGATAACTTCTGTTTTTTTGGTGGAGTTTGGTTCGGTGAAGGTCTTCAGAGAGGTATATGCTAATACTGTACTGTTTCGAGTACCACTAAAAAAGTAAATCTTAGCAGAACCCTTTGTCGGATCCTTCATCCAGGATCCATTGGCGTCACCTGCTTTCTTGACAATTTTGACAGACTTGATACCCACAACCTCTGAACTGCAGTCTGGAAGAATCAAGGTAAAAAAAAATCTAGTTTATGCAGCTATAGCATATAGTAATTATTATATAATTATTTATAATGATTATATTTATATATAATTATATATAGTAATTATGTAGGTTACATGCTTTATGTCTTTGCACAACCATATAAATTATGAGGCAATATTAGAGATTTTTTTTAATTTATCAGTGTTAGTGTTGGTTTTATAATGAATATTTAATTTTGCATGGTCATTTCCTCTATTTTTACATTTAGATTACTTTTGCCATCATATAACGCTCATTTAAAGTTATTTCTTTTAATAACACTAATACTGTAATACTGTATTTAACACTGTTAATCTTAAGCAAATCTCAAAATGAATATCCATTTTTCACACTGTACATTATAATGTTGTGATGCCTGAATTCACGTGTAGCATTTAAAATATTTGTTTTGGTTTTTAGTGTATTAATTCATTTAGACAAAATAGTATAGAATTTAAATAGTGGTGCATACTTTCTTGTAGACATTAAAAAAATAAACATCTCAAATGCAATCAAATTATACAGTTTTCCTCAGGAAATGAAATCACCTTCATTTTTACGTGTAATGCACATATAAGTGCTACCACTAAAAAAATGACTTAAAAATGAAAATGGTAGAGCTTAATTAACATCTTATTTACCTTTGCCCTTAGGGATTACAGTTGTCTTTTTTAGTTTGGCTTCTTTCACCTGCTGCTCGAGCAGTGAGTCCTCAATGTCAACCTGAACAGTGTCGGGGATCTTATTATGCAGGTATTCCACATCTCTTTCCACTCGGTCCAAAAGCAAAGCGAAGGTGTCAATGTGACCTTTGACCTCTGATTTTAGCACATTCATCTTGCTTGTTTCACTGTGTATCTCCTTGGACATGTCATACATCCTTCGACTGAAGTGCTGGAAGTCTTGCTCACATTTGATCAGTCGTCCCTTTTCAAACAAATGCACAAAAATACCATGTGACTGATCACACTATATTGCAACTTAAAATTAAAACATAACATGACATAAAATTAAAACATCTAATATATTTTAAATGTTGCACTATAGGTTGCTTGCTAGAAACTGTTTAGTTTGAATACAAAAAATAGTGGGGAAGTCATGGCCTAATGGTTAGAGAGTCAGACTCGTAACCCAAAGGTTGCGGGTTCGAGTCTCGTACCGGCAGGGATTGTGGGTGGGGGGAGTGAATGTACAGCGCTCTCTTCCACCCTCAATACCACGACTGAGGTGCCCTTGAGCAAGGCACCGAACCCCCAACTGCTCCCCGGGCGTCGCAGCAAAAAAATGGCTGCCCACTGCTCCGGGTGCGTGTTCACGGTGTGTGTGTGTTCACTGCTGTGTGTGTGCACTTTGGATGGGTTAAATACAGAGCACTAATTCCAAGTATGGGTCACCATACTTGGCCACATGTCATTTATTTATTTTTATTTTTATAAAACATGCTTTTTGTTAACCAGCTAAACCTTGAACCCCTAATTTGGCCAAGTTGGACACAGATCAACATCCTTGTTAGTCTTGGAGAAACATTCCAAATTATCAATCACATTTTAGAGAAACAGAAAGGGTTAGACTTATGGCATCTGAATATCAGTGTTATCAAACTGTTAGATTCTTCTGATTTTATGACTATTTTAGAGTTAGACTGAGGTTATGTTGTAGGAATATGTTTAAAAAAAAAAAAAAAAAGATCCAGGAACACATTGAACTTACCAAAAAGAATTGTAAAAAGAGTTGTGTTGTATCTGAATGTTTAGTTCATATAAGCTATAATCATATATTAAGATATTACATTGGTTTCTGTTAAAGCATGTAAAAGAACAAATGTATTTGGCCACAAAATCTTAAGAAAAAAATGTCTTACCTCAAGCTGCTGAAGTTGTCTCTGAAAATATTCCATAATAAAATCAGGAGTTGTCCTCTGAGCTTGTCCCGTTCCAAGCAAAAGAAATACAGTTACCAAAGACAAAAGCATGATGTATATTTTCACCTTTGATTTCTTTCTTGTCTTGTTTAGTTTATGTTATATAATAAACCCAAGAAAACTCCCTTCTTATCTACAATGTCAGTCTGGTAAAATGGAGCCAGATGGAGTTCCAGAAGCAACTGGTTGTTTGTTATTCAAATTCTGGAACTGTATTCGAAGAAAGATGCTGAAAAGGCAGGTCTTCACAAGCTGTGTTTTTAATAAACTCCAGATGTCCTGACATGCTTTCACTCGATAAATCAACTCTGCAGATCATACGATTCAAATTATTGCATATTTAGAGTATAATATACACCATACTTGCCTGTCTCCCCTTCAATTTGTTTATTAGCCTTTTAAGAGGTCAAGTTGGAAATTTGAGAACGGGAAACACATCAGGACACTTTCAGGAGCTTCAGTCAGTCTGGCTGTCCAAAATAACTTCAATTTTGGCACACAAGCAGACATTTTCCTGCCAAATAAGCGATGCGGGAAAAATGACTTTATTCTTGGAAGAATTCTCAAAGCTCAAAGGAACTTTGTGTTTTTTCTTAAAAATACTGAATCAGTTGTAAATTCAACTATATATTTTGAACCAAAACCTGAATTAAGGAGTTTGAGCCTCACACTAATTCATTAAAAAATCAATTAATTAAATAATTTTATTTGAATTGGTCCAACAATCAAAACAAAAAAATCAAAACAAAACACTATTTAGGATTAAAATATTGCTAGATTCTTTTCAAATAGTTGCACCTCCAAGAGAAATTGTAATGTGGTGATTCTGTTTGTCCATCAGATGGCGCCTTAAGACAAAAACAACAATGTGAGCTCTGGGAACAGGATTCACGTGTCCATTGTCGATTTTGTTTGCAAAGACAATGAGAGTGTGTTTACACAGATTAGAGATATATCGGTTTTCCAGCATCTCTGGTTTTTCCGTGATTATCTGAAATTCAGCATTTCCCTTGGATGATTCCCTTTAGACATTTATATGCTCCTGACACCACTGGCCCAAATTCCGCTAGTCAATAATTTAGGCTGGTATATAATGACATAATTCAAAATTGTGTCTTAA